ATGCATGCATCCAAACATGAACAGGTCCAAGGCCTTTATGTTTGCAAGCACACGTACATATGTGAACGTGAACATGATCAACATGCTCCTGAACACTAATAGTTTCTATTACTTTCATTCTTTCCCATTCACTTTGAATGGCTGGACATTTTTGACCGGGAACACCACAAGTGTGACTTTGTGCCATTTTGTACAAAATAAAAGCCTTTCAAAACAAACTCCCTGATTAAACATTAAGGCACACTAGTGTGATAAACAGTGCAAATTTTCATCAGTTTTTATTTAATATTGTGAAATTATGCATAAATAATGCTTTTTTCACTCAAAAAATGAGGTGCCTACTCTCAGATAAATGAGGCCTACGATTAATCAGATGCAAATATAAATACAAAACCAGTCCTAAATGAAAGAAAAGAAGTTGATAAAAAGATTGAATCCAATCTTTGTTGATAATAATGCATAATGAGTGATTTATAAGCATTTTTTTGAGGCCGGGTCATTTTTGCCCAGGAACACCACAAGTGTAACAAGGTGAAAAATCTCCCCCAAAAAAGTATGAAAATGATCAAAACATTTTTTAGAAATAGTTATACCCTTTGTGAACAAAGTCACTAAATTTCAGTCCAATGCGATAACATTAACTAGTATTTTCGTGAAAAAGAAAATTTTCTTGGAGCATAAAGGACCCGAACACCACATCGCTAATGCTTTAAAACGGGGGAGGAGACCAAAGGAAACTCTGGGTTTAACGAAGAAAGCCTGCTCCCGACCAGGTTAGGTTCACAGAGTAAGTTACTATGGTTACCATTCTTAAATGGAAAACCCAGAGTTTCCCTCATTTCAGGGTAAACATACACAGAGTTTTCTGGATGTGATTTCTGGATCTGGGTGTCATTTCTATCTCTTGCCAGCTAGCTTCTAGGGAAGTGCAGGAAGTGCTTTTATAGGTGATTCCCAATATGCCTCTGAAGGGGAAACAGAAGCACAGGATATTGAAGAGCATCACCCCCACTGACCAAACTCTAGTTCCTGCATGATAGCACTGCCGCTGAAACCACTCAGAAGGGGTGTATTGAAGAGTACTGACTGAGTAGGGGTGTCTACTAAGACCACAAACATCATCTGGAAAGGTTCCAATCCAAACAAATTCCCTTTGGTTGATCATCAAATGTTCAGTATTATTTCTATTCTGTCTACTTGTTTTCTTTTTATTTATTTAAAAACAAAAAACAAAAACCTTGCTATGTGTACTGCATTAGACTATCCGGGGCTTGTCACACTACTTACATATTGTTGCACTTGGTTTGATTGCTTTTATTGTCCTCATTTGTGAGTCATTTCAGATAAAAGCATCTGCTAAATGATTAAATGTAAACTGTGTTACCGCCTAAAGCACAGAGTTGTTATGAGAAATTTCCTTTTCATGAGCTCAGACACAGCATTGTTTCATCGGTCACAAAAGAATAACAAATGAAGTGATTCAACGTTTTATTTTGAGCACAATATTGTTGAATACATTGAAGTAGTGAAGAACATTACAGGCTGTCTAGCCAGCAAAGAAAATCTATGCCAATAAATCTAGATCTGTTATATACGTACACATACACAGGACCTCAGTAACTCCTAATTCGTCACTACATTCAGATATCACATCCAGAACCTTTCTGATGGTTACACAGATGGGCTATTTGCTGTTAATACACAATCATTATTTGTATCGCATGCAGAGTCGATGATCTTACACATCAGGCCGTACTCTATAATGTTGTTTAAAGGTGTAAAATAAAGAGACACATTTACGAAATGTATTTAAACAGCAATAAATTGTAAATTAAGTTTACAGCAAACAAACCGTAGAAAAACATAAATATACTGGCAAATCTGCTGCTGGTAGTTTACTGTAAAATTACTATGAAATCCCATTGCATTAAATAGAAAAAAAGTTTTGGGAACTCGATTAAAGAAGAGTAAATGCTGAAATGAAGTGTTTTTGCATGTAATGATATAGGGGGTGATCTATTCGTGTTTAATGTTCTTTTTTGTTGGGATTTGAAGGGTTTCTGTTGTCTGAGTTTTGTGGGTTACCACTATGCTGAAGAGTAGATCCTGTGTTTAAGTCAAGGATCAGCAGAGAAACATTGATGTTATGCTTCATGTTGCTTTATTTAAAGGCAGTAACTGTGGAGTTGCTGATGCAGTGATCTCTTCGCTAATTCTAAGAGATCAGAGGTAAAATGGTGTTTCTAGTTTGAATGATTTTGCTCAATTTAGTAAATTTTCAGAGATTTTCTTTTTTAGTGGAATTAAATGTAAAAAGTTCAGGGTACTAATATGCTGACATTATAAATATTAGTTTATAAACGTAATTGGCAGTTGGCCAATTTAAGGCAGTCAGTTTCTGCAAATGAAATGAAATAAATTTTGTTTTAATTTAGTGCATTACAGTAACATTCTGTAAAGTAGGTAAAGTACTGTAAAATTAACTGTACTACAGGCAAATGTGCTGCCAGTATTTTACCGTTAATTTACAGGACATTTTTTATATATATATATATATATATATATATATAAACAGTACTTTGTATGTGAAGTTGCTGCCAGTTCATTTCTGCAAATTTACACTGAAAAGTTGTACAGTGTATTTTTACATGTAGAAGGATGATTTACATCTGGACTGGATTACATTAATGCTATACTTCTGAATATATAACAGTTATTCCTCCAGATCAAATATATTTTACTTATTATAGCAGGCTAAGTGCTAATTGAACATTAAGACTAAGCAACAAGATAAATGTAATACAAGTTGTTTTACACATGCCATGGTTTATTATATGCATACCGACTGAAATGAAAGAATAATATCCCTACATATTCTAATTGAGAAGAAGCTAACTGAAATACATAAAGACTGAATACTCGTGCACTGCATGATTACTGATCAAATATACCACTAGTGAAGTCATTTGAGCATATATAATTTCATCCAAACGCCATCATTCATGTATATGATTTCTTTGATGCTCTTTTCAGTTTATGCAGTTCATGAAGTTTTGGGCTTCAAAAAAACCCTCATGGATAGATGTAAATATATTCCCAAAATATTCCTTAGTACTGCATTACAGTGTATAAAATGACTTTCTGGTTGGTGCCTTATAGCAGACACTTCTGTCTTTCTGAGATGTGCAGAGGTTGATATTTGTGACAGAAATGTCATGCAGCTACTCATTCTTTTTGCGGGTCATTTTGATCATGGTCTCAGGTGAGCGGTACAGAAAGATGAGCTTTTCAAACAGTTGCTCCTCCATCTCCATCTCTCCCGTCTCGCGCACAACAAAGATATCATTGCACAGTTTTAGTACACGGTCCACACACGGCAGCTCCTCATACATGATGGATCGAGATATGCCTGTGAAGAACTCCCGCACAAACTTACCAATGACCAGCACCACAGACATGTACAGACCCACAATGCTGCAATGTCAGTAGAGAGAAAACAAAAAAAGGAGAGATTTCATATTCAAAATCATCATTTTTTTTTTCAAATAATTATTTAAGATTTTAAACAATAATTTTATAACATTATTTCTACAATTGTAATTTCTGTAAATGTATTTATGCCACCTCTGCACGGCATTAAACAGTCTGTAAATTCACTGTATTTCCTTTCTATGTTAGTTCAAAATAACATGTGAGAATTACAGGCATGATAATACGTTTACACCTGGAATCAGGAATCTTAGATGCATCTCCTGTGACAGATTTTCATATTTCTAAAAAAGACACTGTTGCTACTACATATACTTGAATTTGAATCTCACCACAAATACAGTGTTTTGAGTTGAATAGCCTACTGTTTATTAAGAAAATGAACTTGATGAACTTATACACAATAAGCAGAAGTGAATAATCTGTCACTTCATAGCATGCTGAAGATGATCCGTTTATTTTCCATCTTTTGATCAGTTGGATACCCTTTTTTTTTTTAAGTTGCATGCAACTAGCAAAGCTTCAAACATTGTTTTAGTGCAATGGTTGTTTAATTAAAGGATTAGTTCACCCAAAAATGAGGAGAATTATGTCACCATTTACCCACCTTTATGTTGTTCCAAACTCATAAGACTTTTTATTTAAGTCTTCAAAACAGAAATGATATTTTTAATATTCTTTGATGATTTTTTTCCACTCGTTGAAAGTCCACTCAACCAAATTTTTGGTCCCACTTTATATTAAGTGTCCCTAATGCCTGTGTACTTACATACACAGGTACATGGTTTGTGTAAGTACAAATTGTACATGAACAGGACATTGGTAACGACACTTTTTTTCCACTTCACTAAGTACTCGTGTAACAGGAATTATTATTATTTTGTAACAACATGTATAAGAGTAATTGGAACAATTTGATCCAGGGTGTGGAGATGGGTAGGTTTAGGGGTGGAGATGGGTAGGTTTAGGGATATGTAAAGTGGGAGGAGTTGGATCTCGAGTTGGTGGAGTTGGTGCACTACTGTAATACCAGTGTAATTACATGGTAACTCCTCAGGAGCTGTCCACTTAATATAAAGTGTAACATTCTGGACACCAACCACAATTTATATGTAAAGCCTAACTTACTGGCCGCTGCTGTGTAACATCAGAATAATAACATGATAAATCTAATATAAAGTGTAACGCTTTCTTTACCAAAAAGTGCTGTTAGTCCTGTTACACATTTGTACTTACACATACCATTCAGTGGGTTGTTACATATGTTTAGTTACACAAACATTACAGCTGTAGATACTATGTACCAATGTGTACTTACACTGTGGTTACATACTATGTACACATCTAGTTACTATGTAAGTACACAGGTATTAGGGACACTTAATATAAAGTGGGACCAAATTTAATTCACAAATAAACATTGATTAACACACATACACAGAGCACATAAAAAAAAAAAAACTCAAATGTATGTGTGTTTGATTCATATGGATTACTTTTATGAAGTATTTGAATGTAATTCGAATCATCAGATAACAAAACATTTTGAATCCTGTCTACACTTGTATTCAGCCCTAACCTAGTTTGGGTAAAGAGACTCAAATTTTGTTCTGTTCCTCATAGAAAGCTATTGTATGACTTCAGAATAAATATGGGGTTGTATGTGTTATGACATGTTTATGGTGCTTTTTTGGAGCTTGTTATTTTTCATTATATAAAAAAGATCTTTTGTGTTTCATGGAAGTATAAAAGTCATACAGGTTTGTAACGACAGCTGACAACAGTTTTCTTTATTTGCTGAACTACTCCTTTAATATATACTTACCAGACATGTTTCAGAAATTGTAAAAATTACTAAAACTCACCCATATCCAGCCAGGAAGCCCACGCTGGATGGGCTGACTTTATCATTGAACACCACCATCTCAATACTCTGGCATCTGCTGGCTGGAGGGCCAGGAAAACACTCTTCCACCACCCACCACTGCGGTCCCATCTCTGCAGAGCTCCCGTTTCCCCGCTGCAGTTTGATGGACAGAGGACGGAAGAACTGTAGATGAAGATCATCCAGGCTTTTGGGATGTTCTGTGAATGATTCCATTAAAGTCAAGAAAACATCCTTTGATCTGCAGGTCTGTTGCTCTAATGCCATTCATTTACATTTAATCACTTAGAAGAAGCTTTTATCCAAAGCAGCTTACAAACGAGGACTACAACAAAATTGATTCATCCTAAGCAGGCTATAACGAGAGGTGCTAAAATACAAATTTTCAAAAACTGTCTTGAAGAGTACAGTAGGAAATCAGAACTAGTGTGTACTGAGCAAAGAAAGAAAGGTTTAATAACTCACCCACTTGAAGTCGATGTGCCACTTTAGCATTAGGCCCGGAAGTTCCTCTGATATATTTTGGCAGCAGATTTTCCATTAACCTGACAATCATCAGAGAACAGATGGAATGAGAAGTAGCAAAAACAGATGTTGAAAGCATCCATATTTAAATGTTTAAGAAACACTTACACTGGACGGCTGCATGTCCCTCTGAGCATAGACACCAGTTCCTCTCTCAGTGCGCTATCTTCATACTTCACTGTGTGTTCACCAGCCGCCTCTGCATTCATCACCAGAGATGCATTTCTGCTCAAACATGCAAAAAACACAATGACACATCACATGTACCATAAAATGTTAAACATTTTTATCATTATGAGATGAGACAGAAGGCACGAGTGAGAACATAAAGCATTGCCCCCATCATAGTACACTTTGTTGCCAGAGTATCTTCAAATATCTTCACATGCAATGTCAGGAAAGAGCATCTTTTACCTTCTGTAAAAAGGTCCAGTATAATTACCTCAGGTAATGCTAATCCTGTGCAAATAGACCAGTTGTATATATGTATGTAAATATTCAGTAATTTCCTGTTTAAATGTATCTTTAAGTATGGAGACACTTGGAGAAGCCTTCAGTTGCGTTCTAGGCGTAGTTCCGTAGTTTTACGCATACGACGACACAAACCATTCAGATCAAAAAGGAGGTCAAAAGTACTTGTTAAAGGCACGGAACGTGTGTTAGTAAGTGCCTATTACCAAAATAATCAAATCAGAATTTAATTAATTAAATTAATAAATCACTCGACTGAACCTAACTGTTTTATATACATGAAAAACAGCCCAGTTACCCCTCCCACTTCTGGTAGTTTTACTGATATTTCTTATCCCGTGCGAATTGGCCATTGATATTACAGATGTCCTGTGGTAAAATTACATTAATCCATCTACCATTGTAAAACTAATCCCGTCTGAATTGGGCTTATGATGCATATTGTGCCCTGAGGGTTGACATGACTTGACACCATGTGTAGAGTTATTCTATGCCCACTATGGTGCTAATTATTCTAGTGAGGCAGGCACTCCCTTAGCATGGTGGAGTGGGCATTGGTTCCCCATAGGGTCAAATCCCTCATCAAGGTTATGACTGTAAGCATGGTTCCCGTTTCGTTGTCATGCATCGAGTTTGCCTGCACATCTCCTTCAGACAAAAGGGTTGCCGACATGTTTTCCAGGTGCCCTTTTATACTCACGGGCACTCCACGGACATTATAGACTGTTGTCACTAAATGAATTGACATGTTTGCTACACATGCTCAGACAACGATCATGATGATGGCATTCCCCATAGCATCAACCAATTTTCCTTCTCAGGGAACCATGGTTACAGTCGTAGCCTAGACATTCTTTTTGGTGAGTCAAAATTAGTTAAAAAAAATCTATTTGTTTTTCATGTAATGGGGCTCACACACCAGACGAGAAGTGCAGCGCCACATCTTTAAAATTTCAACACATTGTTTTCTACGAGTGTACACACAGGCAATGCCACTCGGCGTCTGTCTGCAGTGCCTGCCTACAACTCAGGAGGCTATTCAAAACCCTGCCATGCCACAGCTAGAATGTCATTCACATATTTTTCCATTAAATTATATTATAATAGTCCCAAAACGTTGTTAATGTAGATAATGATTTCACCCTAGCAAATGAGAGCAATGTATGTTTTCCTCAGATGCAATATATGTTCTGTATATCAGTGTGGGGGGAATAATGTTATAATCTCTTTTGTGGTGCGGTAAAGTGCTTACATGTACACAGGGAATTTCAGCCCCCAAAAATGCATTAAAATATGCAAGCACTGTTAATGCAACTTTTGTTTTGTTTAGTTTTTTTTTTTTTTAACGATTATTGCAATTCGTGCTGTATTGCATAAATTGAATAAAATTGCAATTCGTTTTTTTTACTTCAAAATTTTAGTCATTAATTTACTTCCATGCAAAGACACCATGAAGCCTTTGGTCTTTATAATTTGTGCAGTTGTTGTGATTGTGAGAATATACCGTAGTAAAGTCCAGCGCAGTGTGATGTAGAAGTGTGTCGAGTTGCTGATTTCATAGATCATGGCATCTCGGCTGGCAGGACTGACGTTCCACAGTCGACTGGCGTCACTTTTGATCTTTGCCGTCAATATGTCCTCTGCCATGTAGTTCACAATAAACTGCATCGCCGACTAATTGAGGCACACGGAGGACAGTTTGATCAGACTGACAACAGAAGGTTCAAAGTGTTATTGTATTACAATTTATAACAGTCATGAAAAATTAAGATTAATATAAGTTTCAGTCACAAAAACAGCAATCTAAAGGTGAAATTGCATTTTAGCCTGTGTGCATACTAAAATGTGTTGAATGACGTGAAAGGGAACTATAAATTGCCATTGCTCATGTTTTGGGACGAATTTAATGTATACCGGGTAAGTGGCGAAGTGATTGCTCATCTTCTGGAAGGTCGATTGAGAGTATGGGATCAGATTGTGTTCCTGAGCACTCATGGTAAACAATGGCTGTAAACACATATAAAAAGAAAACATGATTAATTCTCTTATACTAGACCAGTGGTTCCCAGTCCTGGTCCTCTGCACATTTTGTATGTCTCGCTGATAAAACACACCTGATTCAACTCATCAGCTCATTAGTAGGTGAGAGAGACATCCAAAATGTGTACTGTTGGGGGTATCGGGTTTGGGAACCCCTTTACTAGACCAGTGGCTCCTGGAGGGCCAGTATCCTACAGAGTTTTGCTCCAGCCAGCTCCAACACACTTGGCTGGATGTTCCTAGTGAGTCTAAAGACCTTGATTAGCTGGTTCAGGTGTGTCAATTAGGGTTGGAACTCAACTGTATTGTGGCCCTCTAGAAATAGTTTTGACACCCCTAAAGTAGACATATGTGCCAAACATTTGTGCCATAATGTATCAGTTTAGGTGATTTTTATTTATTCTTTTTTTTTTTTGTTCATGTGTGCTCTTAGACACTGTAATAAAGTAATGATATGATTTAATTGATGTAGTCATCGTCATATGTATTTAAGGAGGTGTGTTCCAGTGTTGCCAACTTAGTGACTTTTCAAACCTCTTAGCGACTTTTTTCCCAAAAAGTACTAGTGACAAATCTAGTGACTTTAACTTTAGCTACTTTCCAAGACTTGCCAGCACTGCTGTTGCAGTCACTGTTTCATATTTGTTCCGTTGTCTGACAACAGAAACAGAAAAATATATAAATTAGAACAGCTTTATTTGGACATATTTGGAACATTGAAATACAGCATGTGTGCACAGAGAAGCAAACATGTGAAAAGGGCTGATATTAGGCAGACATCATGAATATACTAATTAGTGTATGGCATTATCTAGGGACATTTAGCTACTTAAGAATAGTTGGCAACACTGTGGAGTTCTAAAAATATGTCCATCAATCACAAGAGTAAAACTTTGTTAGATAAAGAAATACCTTTTTGGTGCAAACAACTTTTCAAACCTTAGAAACTAACCTTGAGAAACATAATATACAGGGGTGCACATAAGTTTTTCAGCCTGGTTCTCATAAGAGAACCTGGAGATTTGGTTTGGTCCTCACACTGCACGTAGTGTGACCCATTAAATATAACTATAAAAAATAAATTAATAATAGTGACTTAGTGATAATATTATTGCACTTTATTTAGTTAGTTTTTCAAAATAAAATAAACAAAAGAATAAAGTGTGATAATTCTATTTTTAAATAAAAAGGGAGTATTAAATACAAATACAATTATTTTATAGTGAACTTAAAAATAAAATGCTAATATTTACTTCTTTTTTATATATGAATTTTCATAATTTTCAACCTTAAAATCAGCAGGCTTTTCTTTTGGCGGGTTGCCGGCAAGTAAGTATATGCGCTTCCGGGTTTAGCGCACCGATTAAAGAGCATCAGTGAATGAAATGTCACAGTTTTGCATTGTGCTTTGAAAACGGCTACGGGTAGCCTAGATTTATGCTTTTTTTCAGCTTTTGCATAGAAATCTTATTCAGTACAGTTTGTCGATCTAAAATGGTAATTGTACATTAACAGCTGTCAACCATGTCAGTACGCAAATGCGCTGTCAGAACTTATTTACACAGCGCATTTTTTATTTTGGTCGCGCATGCGGACCTGCGGACCACTTATGTGATAATATACAATATACAAAAATATACAATACACCTGATAATATACAAATCTGAAACTGCATTTCATGACCATCATGAACTGTGATCAGTGTAATATGTAAAGAATACATCATCATGTACAGACGTTCTTCGTCGCAAAGTGGTTTACTGCTGTTTATGCATTAGTGAATCAGCCAGTAACTAAACAATCAACTAATGATTCCTGCTAGAAAAAAAATTATCAATATTGTGGTTATATTATATTGCTCAGCGTCTCTTATTTACACTGTATTTTCACAATGTTAGTTATGGTGAAAGAGTTTGTGAGATTCGCCCATTGCGATAGGAGATCACTGCATCGTGTGATCAGTAGGCATGACTGTGTTCGGCTACAGTATAGCGCTTTGATGCAGTGGGAGGAGTTCTACATACAATGCTATAATCAAAACTTTTCATGATCATTTCATATTATAGTATCATATTGTCACGCCCTTGGACTTCCCCTGTGTCTTGTGTTTTGCTCCCCATGTGCTCCCCATAACCCAGTTTCTCCAGTGTTTGATTATGTTCATTGTTTCCAGGTGTTTCCCATGTTTATTGTGTTTATTTGATTCAGGTGTGTTTCATTTACTCCCTCGTTAAGTCTTGTATTTATGAGTCTAAACGTCAATTCCCGGTTCCTACGTGTGTGTTCCTTGTTCCATGTGAATTATTAAAGACTGTATCATCATGAATTCCCCTACGTTCCTCGCTCCTCACAGTAGGCACTGTGACAAAAGACTCGACCGGCAAATATGGATGAACGAGCCGCCCACCAACGTGAGGACATTCGTGCCGCTCGCCCTCACCAGCTCTCTCGATGGAGAGATCCTTGTCACACTGTTCCAGCTCGGGATCACTTACCATAAACCAACGGAACTCCCAGACACCACCAACCTCGACTGGAAGGAGGCGGTCATCCAGTGTCTGGAGAGTCTCGGATCCCGATCCGGAATCCCACCGCTCAGCAGTCAAGCCTTTGGGGAGGGGGGAAGTAATGTCACGCCCTTGGACTTCCCCTGTGTCTTGCGTTTTGCTCCCCATGTGCTCCCCATGACCCAGTTTCTCCAGTTTTTGATTATGTTCATTGTTTCCAGGTGTTTCCCATGTTTATTGTGTTTATTTGATTCAGGTGTGTTTCATTTACTCCCTCGTTAAGTCTTGTATTTAAAGTGTAGTCTGCCCCATGTTTCTTTGTCAAGTCTAAACGTCAATTCCCGGTTCCTACGTGTGTGTTCCTTGTTCCATGTGAATTATTAAAGACTGTATCATCGTGAATTCCCCTACATCTCCTCGTTCCTCGCTCCTCACAGTAGGCACCATGACACATATATAGTAGTAAAAATATTATAGTAATATTATAGTAATTGTTATAGTAAAAATTGTCATTTCATATGCAAAGATGTTAGCCAATCATAGCAGTGGGCATTTACATTGATGTTTCAAATCAAAGGGCTAAAATCAGGATAGAAAATTACCAGATATATCTCAATTCTGACTGTTGAATGCATTTCATGACCCCTTTAAAGGGGTGGTTCGTTGCGATTTCACTTTTTTAACGTTAGTTCGTGTGTAATGTTGCTGTGTCCAGGCACCAACCAGGGGTGCCTCCCGTCAACCCATCTGTACGAGCGCAAGTGCCTCATCAGTTCCTGTCACCGCAGGTACTTGATAATACTATGTATTGGTTAATATTACTTCAGTAGTTTGCAAGATGTTGACAGACAAGTCATTTTAGAAGCAGACATTTTGTTGAGGTTTTAAAGGGGTGGTTCATTGTGATTTCACTTTTTTAACGTTCGTGTGTAATGTTGCTGTTTGAGCATAAACAATATCTGCAAAGTTACGAAGCTGAAAGTTCAATGCAAACGGAGACAACATCTTTTAAAATTCTGGCAGTTTAATGCCTACAAAAACAGCTGGTACTAGGGACTACAACAAGTTACTTCCCGAGTTCGTGCCATCACAAACCCAGATAAACCCCCCGCCCTCGGGAAAAGGCAATCAAGCCTAGAAAAAAAAACAGTCAACCACCCCTTTAATATATAGACATATTTCAAACTTATATATAGTTTGTATATATAATTTAGGTGTCATCAGTTAGGAACTTAACTAATCAAATATCACATTATAGTCCTTCACGTCCGCTGCAATCTCAAAACTCTGGCCATTTGATAATACCTAGAATATCAAAATCAACTGCGGGCGGCAGATCCTTTTCCTATTTAGCGCCAAACTCTGGAATAATCTACCTAGCGTTGTTCTGGAGGCAGACACACTCTGTCAGTTTAAATCTAGATTAAAGACCCATTTCGTTAACCTGACATACACATAATACACTATCGCATTTTTGTAATTCAAATCTGTTACATAAAGATGACTTGACTTGATTTATAATACAGATTACAATGTTACTCTTTAGTGTTGAATCACATACCTCATATCCAAGTATGCTCAACTGGATGGACACATCTAGAGGTTGATTGGTTACTCCTGCTACAGATTTAACCAAAGACATAAAGAGAAGAGGGAACCAGACGATGCAGATGAGAGCAAAAATAATGAAGCCGCCCATTGTGTATTTCACCATCTTCTTCTTCCTCTGTCCACGTCGGTGAGGGTATTTCTGTGGCAAGAAAACATTCTATTAATTTATAGTATGTAAAATATCACAAACATATAAGGAAAGGGATATTTTAATAAAATATAACAAAAGTGAGTACACCATTGTGAAATATAATTTAAATGTCAAACGATTGGAGATTATATTACCCCCTCAATTAAATTATTTCTTAGTTGACATGTAGAGTATTTCCTATTATAATAAACAAATACTTTAAAAAGATTATATATTAAAAAATACCCCCACCCCCTAAACGATACAAAAGTATTACTGCAATTTCCAATGCACCCTTTGATTTCCAGCTTTTGGCTATAAAATGACACATAAGCACCAGAACTTTCTCAGTTTAAACACATTTACAGAAGGGATCAGGAGCTATAGAATGAGCAATAGCACCACTAATCAGAACTGCAGTGGCAGCCCAACACCACATCCGCATGACCTGAGCTAGGTGTGTACCTGCGGATCATTAAAAAGTTTTTAAAGGTATTACATGATTTTTTTTTTTATTTAAGGTCATGAAAAGTCTTAAAAGGTCTTATTTTTTACTTATGAGAGGTCTTAAATTTTAGATGAAAAATACTTTACTGAATAAAAAAACAAATCTTATTAGCATTATATCATTTTTCTGATTCTTAATTTTAATTCTTTCTTTGTGGATTTGCTTGTTCATGTGACATTTTGCTGCATTTAAGACAGTGTATTACATACTGTCTCCTCTCCTGCACGTGAAAGAGAGAAGGATAAGAAAATGGGTAAATATAAATTAAGTTTATATAAGTTCATTCTTTACGCTCACTATGTGATGTACGCTGTTATATGCCCCCAAAATTCAAGATACATGAACATTTTTTGCCCGATGAGTTTTTGTCTTTTATTCATATTATGTAGTTATGTCACAATATCACACAAGCAAAGGAGCTGTTCTTTTCCCAAATACCAGCATGATTGCAAATTATCAATACGGTTTGTTTTTCCTTTATTTCACTAATGTACATTTCGGTCCCACTTTATATTAAGTGGCCTTAACTACAATGTACTTGCGTCAAAAAATAAGTACAATGTACTTATTGTGTTCATATTGTATTACAAAACACTTCTGCTGCTATTGAGGTGGGATACGGGTAAGGTTAGGGACAGGTTCGATGATATGGGTAGGTTTAAGTGTGTATTAAGGTGTAAGGGATGGGTCAGCAGTGTAATTATAAATGTAATTACAGAAATTAATTACAGGTGTAATTACATGCAGGCATTTTTTTTTTAAATATAAGTACAATGTAAAAACATGTATGTATCAAACACAGTGGTAATTTGTTTCCTAATAAATACACATTTGGTGAACTCTGACCTGTGAATTTATATGACGAGAAGATGTGTGACTAATAGAGGAACTAAAAATCACAGGTTGACTTCTTCATTGAATTCAAAGAAGGTAAATGTGTGAGACATCTAAGATATGTAGTGTTGGAAGTACTGCAGAGAGTACTAGAGCATGACTTTATAAAAAGGTATGATGTCACCTGTATGTATCAGTTTGGAAAGATAAAATTAATTTGGATGGCAAATTTTCACCTTTTCCGCTTCTCTCCAGCATTTGAGAATAAAGATGTTGGCATAGATGTCCTCCACACAGATCCAGTTGGACAGGCTAAGAGTTGTGTCTGTCCACACCCAGTCCATCACTGCCCTTAACTCAGTCAGGAACGGAACTAACCTGAACCTGTCAAAAAAAGCCCATTACATTGACCTTTACATTTAATAATTTAGCAGACACTTTTATCCAAAGCGACTAACAAATGAGGACAATAGAAGCAATCAAACCAACAAAAGAGCAACAATGTGTAAGTGCTGTGACAAGTCTGGGTTAGTAAGACAGACACACAAATACTAGTCTAAGATGACAACTACACAAGCAAATCAGCAATGCATTATGCTGCCAAGATGCTACAATTATCCACACATTATCATTTTTGGGATATGTAGTTATTCACAATTAGCAAAAAAAGAAAAGTCATTTATTTGGCTTTATCAAATAAATGACCAATTTTGACAGTGAGTCAGCTAGCAATCATAGTGTATCTTAATTCATGATTAGCACATGTAGTAATGGTCTGGGAAATGCTGATGTGTGTAAACATTAGTAAAATGTAATGCTGGCTTGACTGTAGTGTGTCTTTCTTTCTTTTCATATAGCAGACTGTATGGCATTTTGAAGTTCTTATATTAGTATACTACTGTATATCATTAAACAGGGTATTCTTTGAATCATACATCAACAGGAGAAAACAAATACATTTTCCAAGAATATACTTTATCAAAACAATGTAATATAAACAGATTGAATCGTGTTCCCTTATAGTAATCAAATCGACCCCTGTACACTTCTGACCCCTTAACCAATCCTTAAACCTACCCATAACCCATACCGGTCAACCCTCCCGTTTTTCCTGGGATTCTCCCGTATTTTACCATTCTATCCCGCTATCATCCTGTTTAAATATTTTCCCGTATTTCTCCCGTATTTTTAATCTTTCTATTAAAAAAAGTATATATATTTACATGTTATTATTATATATTTACATGTATATTTACATGTATAATGAGATATAGCTTACACTTCAAAAGGCTATTTAATTGATTATATGACCACTGCAAGTTTCAAAGTCAGGTGCTGCGCTGCTTTGTAACAGGGGAAATGGCTATATTTCTGGCGAAAAGCGTCACCTGCTGGCAGAGAATGATATTTGCATTTTTCAATAAGCCCTTCTGCTGTTTGTTTAGACCAAAGCCAAAAACGACCCTTATTTTTACGCAGAAAACATGCAGTTGTAAATGTGAACTGGTGGATCGACAAGAAGATAATGAATTATAAAACTCTAAAGATATAGCCTACACTAAGATATATTTATGTTACTAAATGAATATAATTGTTTGATGATAATTGTTCAAATTAATATAAAAATAAAATAAAATAATATAATATAAAAATTGTTACTTTTGACTCCGCCACCCCCATACCACCACTCCCCCTTTCCCGTATTTTGGTACCCAAATGTTGACAGGAATGCCATAACCTTACCCATAACCTTACCCGTATCATACCTCGACAGCAGCAAAAGTGTTGTGCATTAACAAATAAGCTTTTAATCATTGTATAACATCTGTTAAAATCATTTGAAGAATTTTAAAAAGTGCATGATCATATGAACTGAAAGTTTAATGACGTTTGTAAGCATTTTAATTTACATGAAATAATGATCTGTTAAACATTAGATAATGTTTAATAAATTTATTAGTAAACATTAACAAGCACATTATCTCATGTTTCTAGTTATTTGAATAAATATTAACTAATGAGTATAAAGAATAAAGATTAAAATTGCCATTACACTGATGGTTGCTAGCTTTTTAATTGTATTATCCAAATGTACATCAACTGGCAAATCATTAGGCAGTAAAGGCTTAGGAGTCTATTTAAAGTGAATTAAAGATGTCTGGCCAGAGGAGAACTGGCCCCCCAACTGAGCCTGGTTTCTCCCAAGGTTTTTTTCTCTCTTTCTGTCACCGATGGAGTTTTGGTTCCTTGCCACTGTCGCCTTTGGCTTGCTTGGTGTCAGAAGCTGCAATTCTAAAAAAAAATTGCCTGCCACAGCAGCAAATTCAGCAGCTTTTTGATCCTGTTGGTCCAACTTCGTAGAGACAAACTTGACAGAGCTGCCCCCTTAGCCCCAAAATTCAGCTGCTGGGGCCTCTCCTCTTTCTCTGCGATAGTAGCTGTTGATTATATGTTTAGCGTGTTGCAATTTAAAAAAAAATAATTTTTAGGTCATCTAATAACAGAAATTTGTATTTTACACCAATAATGTGATGTGGCTGCTGGGCAATCAACACTGGTTGTGGAGTAAATGAAGACACTACGGAAAATATATTATGATAATATAAATGACCCTTTCAAAGGCCAGTGAAGACATACTGCCAGTTAGTGTAGCAGGTTGCAACCTCCTAAGGTGTAGTTCAGGGAGTATGCCTAGAAAGGTAGGGTACAACGGGGCTAAAGGCGCCTTTGATATTATTTTCATCTAAACCACTAGATGGCACAAAAACGTGGCGTAGCACTTTCCAAAACATCCGCTTTTCAAGATGCACATGTTTATTTGTCTGATCCTTGACGCGATCGCGCGCAGCAGCGCAAAGTTGATTCTGTGCTTACTTGATGTAATATTTGATGTTTTTTAAAATGTTGTAGATTCAAGTAGCAAATGAGAATCTCTAAAATTAATGCATATATTTTGAGACAAAGGTCTTCTTTATGATTTTCAGTTTTGTTTAAGCAACATAATTAAAGCAACAGTTTTTAAATAACGAAAGAATATGTAAAAGTATGGTATTTGGGGTAAAAAGCGCCCCTGCTGTTGGGGCTAAAGGCGCAGTAATTAACATGATAATTAATAGATGGCTGACTTTTCCATTTGTTGACATGACATAATTAGATTCAGATGGTAAATATATATTATGTTGGGTGTCCATATTAGAGATAATCACCATGTTTAGAATGAAACCATCATATTTATTGTTTCTGTATTTTAAAATATATTTTTTTATATTAACATATTTTAATGACAGTATATTTATTGAAAAAATAATAATTATTTTATTTTTCAAAATAAGCAGAAAATAGTACAAAAAAAGTGATTGTTTTGAACAAGTATTAACTTAGACATTATTTAAAAAAAAAACGAAAACAAAAGTATTTGTATCAATACCGTGTGCCTTTTACCCTGTATGTGGGGTAAAAGGCCCCCCTTGCCAGCTCATACATTTATAAGATTTTTAAACAAAATAAACAACTTGAATGATTTATTTTCACACAAAATCTGTTGCTCCATTAATGTTCAATACAACGTATATATTTTTTCTGCAATTATACATTTTAGGCGCAGTGAATGGCACATTTTTTCTTAAGGTGGGCCTTTAGCCCCATTGTACCCTATACCTTTATTTAAGCTAGACCTTTAGAGTCTTTGTGGCATGCTAAGAGACAACGTTACATTCTGCTGAATGTACAGAATTAATGACCAAATCGGTCATTGTGGAGCGAGTAATTTACTTACCCCTGAAAGAGGAAGAGGTTGAAGTAGTTGTGGTTCTTGGTAAGAAAATTTCCAAGAACACGTTTTGGGTAGCCACATTTGATCTGGTATGCTGAGAGACCAAAATAAATGCACTTTACAAAGTACCACAGTTGAGCAACTCGATTCCTGTTGAATCTCCTGAAATAAGAAACATTGCAGTAAAATTAATATCAGCAATCATAATGGTAATCTATATTGTATTGGTATTGGTAAGCCATATTGTAGGGTTCACACTTAGTAATTCCATTATAGCACACAACTACTACAATTTACAAGCCCAATCCTTAAGTGATGGGTTACACCTTAAAAATGTCCCTGTATGTGTATGTAACTTGGGGAGACTTGGGAATGAGACATTAGCTTACAGAACTGCCCCAACCATTTAAACCATTGGATTTACAAAGTGTGAAGAGGAGACTTTAGAATGGGAACAGGGAGGGGTTAACATCTTAAACCAAGCATTAGCACTTAACAACCACTTGCATATACAACACAGTAGAAGCTTTATTCGTATGCTTGTAGTTAGATGCGATAATTGTAACTTTTTTTGTGGGATTATAAGAATGTGAGAATATCTAAAAAAACATTTATGCAAAACTAAAAAGGAGGGAGGGTTTGGCCTGCTGCAGTTCAAATATTACTATTGGGCAGCTAACCGAAGTGTTTTCGCATGCTGGAAAAAGCAGCCTTCTGATGCAGATAGAGATCCATCCTGACTTAGAATGGAGCAAGCATTTTGCAATAAGATGTCTCTTGCTGATCTCCTGAATAGTCCTATTAGAACTGACCCGGCCTTATATGATAATCATTTTGTTATAAATAATGCGCTGAAAATATGGAAACAGATTAAAGCCTATTTAAAGGCTCCCTGCATGTACCTAGATAGTCCTATATATATGTCAGAATCATGCCTTTTCTCCTGGTTTGTTTGATTCAGGTTTTACTCAATGGGAGAAGATTGGCATTCAAAGAATAAAAGATCTGTATATAGATGGGACATTTGCCTCCTTTGAGCAACTAAAAAAAGGCTTCAATATCTCTAATTTTTAAGATACTTTCAAGTTAGAGATTTTGTAAAAAAAAAAAAAACATTACATTTTAATGTGATGAAATTAACAAGTTTAAATCCTTTGCATCAGGGTGCAGTGTCATATTTCTATAGTATTCTGTTAAAACAAGAAGTTGTAGATGAAGCCACAGTTAAGCAGGCCTAGGAGATAGAATTAGGTCTAGAGATAGATTCAGACAGTTGGGAAGAAGGCCTTGAGAACATACATACTTGTTCAATTAATGTAAGGCATAATTTAATTCAGTTTAAACCTTGCATAGAATATATTTATCTAAGGTGAAATTGCACTGCATTTTCCCAGAGGTTTCTCTATTCTGTACTCACTACGGTTGTGCCATAAATGACAGGAAAATTGGGAAAACATATTTGATTATTTTTCTAAAGCATTCGAAAATAATCTCGAACCATGTCCACTTTTAGCTATTCTTGAGATGTTTAGTAATTTAGAGATGTTTAATATACATGAAAGACAAGCCATATTATTTGGCATGATAATTGCCAATAGGGTGATTTTAAGAATGTGGAAAACTGATTTTTCACCCAAGTTCAAAATGTGGGGTACATGTGCATTGAGAAAACATCCTTTTTTCTACTTTCGAAAATATATGAGATATGAGAGTCTTAACTCTATGACTGAAATTAGTGCTGTGTGTACCTGTTATTCTCTACGTTATGAGGACCAAATGCCCCACAAGTTTAGTATTACCAGTAAATTTTGACCTGCGTGTGTTTCATTGGAGAAATTGAAAGTGTAACAACTGACCAGTGTTACATCCATCCCAGTCTCCCACCAATCATGATAATTATTAATATTGACTGATATGAATAAAAGTTTTACGGTGCTGTTTTTTTTTTCAATGTCACCCAGCCCTATGATACAGTAATGACGGTCAACTCTGTGAATGAAATTAACACAGCATGATCACAAATCAAATAGCTGCATTACCATGTCTGTATGTCAGTTTACTGTTTTTACTAAAATGTATTTAAAGAAATGTTATAATTACAATTACAAATTTAATGAGTTATACGTCTCGGGTTACGCATGTAACCATGGTTCCCCGAGAGGGAACGAGACGCTGCGTCTTCAAGCGGACACTATGGGGAATGTTGCCAGCATGACCGGTGTCTGAAGCACATGTGAAACAACGCCAATCCTATTGGCCCGAGACGTTGCCCTTCTATGGAACTCCACGCAGCGTCCTCTAGAGGACACAATGGGGAACGAAATGCCAACTATGCCATGCCAAAGTGCATGCCTGTCCACCTGGTGAGAGACCAAGGAAGTGACAGACATACACCAAGCCTTTCCTCAGAAAGGGGCCAAGCCACTGATGCCTCGGGCCGCTCACATAACCTGGCAGAATGGGGGAACCCAATTCAGATAAAGGGGAATATCCCACCCAAGTTAAGAACACAGCTATCCTCAGAGAGCTATGCTATGTGAGCAATACTAGCCTGGATACACAAGACCACTGAAGAGGCTAAACTATAAAGCCTCTTATGAGGGCTCGTAGGCGCGTTCCTGTCCACCTGGTGGGAGAGCACCAAGGAAGCGGCAGACATACACCAAACCTTTCCTCAGAAAGGTTTGGAACACCACGGGCTGTTCATATAACCTGGCAGAAATGGGGAAACCCAATTAGATCAAGGGGAACACTCCACCCAAGTTAAGAGCACAGCTTTCCTTGAGATAGCTATGCTATGTGAGCAATACTAGCCTGGATACACAAGACCACTGAAGAGGCTAAACTATAAAGCCTCTTATGAGGGCTCGTAGACCATTTAAGAATGAACAATACACAGCTAGCCCAGATAGCCATGTAAGGCATTCCTGTAAAGCTGCCCAGACCACAGAGAGTGGGCTATCTACTTACAAACCTAGCAGGGGAGATAGCACTGTCTAGGCATGGGCTCAAGGAGACCGCTACTTAAAGACCCTAAGAAGGGGAGAAGTTACTTATTCTACTTACGACCCAGAGAGGGGAGACAGCACTGTCTAGGTAAGGGCTCAAGGAGACCGCTACTTAAAACCCTAAGCAGGGGAGCAATCACTGAGCTATCCTCGGATAGCTAGGCTCTGGGAAAGGGGAACAGCTAGCACATAGATATCCTCAGATAGGATCGGGATCGAAAACTCCTAAAAAGAGCGTTTGAAACCCACGAACCCCTCAATCCAAGTCTTTGCCGTGCCTTGGCAGCAACGGGACCTGAACCGCTAGACGCAGACGCTTGTCATTCATCTCTCGAGAAGAGGGGTAAACGTGAACGGAGCTTTCTCATTGGAAACACTCACAATGAGTGCATTCAGAGCCCTCAAGCACCGAATGCACAAGCCCCCGACCAAGAAACATGACGCATAGATTGTGTGCGTCTTCAAGAGTCCTCGGGCACGGAGGCACACACTTTCTACACCGTTCACCTGCCTTGGTCTCTCACACGTACTTCAAACAGACAGCTCCTGAAGACAACAAAAGTTGGTGACGTATTTAGCAGATGCCCTTTTATGCTTCCGGGCATCCGCCTATGACATCACGGGCCACGTGGACCAATAGGATTGGCGTTGTTTCACACATGCTTCAGACACCGGTCATGATGGCAGCATTCCCCATTGTGTCCGCTAGATGACGCAGCCTAGAAGGGGAACTATAAAGGGAACAAAATTGCTTTTAAAAGAGACATCAAATGTAATTTGACAAAATTCCAGTCTAAGCCCTGCCCATCTCCAGATTTTACCTGAATACAGACACAGATAATTTTGAGATTGCTACAGATACAGATATTAGCTCAACTGTACACCCCTAATATGGAATGTAAATACCCTTTGTGCCACCACATTACATTGAAAATCATTCAGTATCTGTCTTGTTTTAGCATATATCTAAATATATCTAAAACAAAACGCATTTGCCAAAATGATATAAAATACTTTTTAGAGAAAGTTTTCAGAGAAGAATTATTCTCATTCACTCCCATTGGCAAAATATTTTTATTGTTTTAAACATACCAAATGTGTGCAATTTTTTATAAAAAGTATATATATATATAAAATAACAAATAACCAAATGAAACGGTGGTAGAGGCTAAACATGTGAGATGGACTACGCACCCGTCACAATATGTATGTAAATATAAACATATTACATATATATTTCAAATATATACATGTATGTGTTTATATTTATATATAAATATACACAGTACACACACATATATTATGTAAACAAAAACTTTTATTTTGGATGCGATTAATCATATATAGGATGAGTTGTGCGTATAGAACAATGGTTTTTAAGTTTTTTTTAGAAGCTCACTGGTCACTGCTGCGGTCACAAGAAGCCACCCCACCAACTGCATCTGATGTTTTCAAATGGATGGAAGTAATTTTTTAGTCGCTGTGCCTATCAATATGCCACTTGTTTCACTTTTTTGCATCAAATTTGGTGTAAAAGGGACTTTAACCTGTTTTGATCACTACACTACTATACTTCCATTTGTTATTTCATAAATTGTGCAAGAGTAGAAATAACAAAGAGTGAATATTTGTATTCAAACTTGGATGATCACTTTCAGGGATTCATATATCACTGTAAAAAATAAGTTGCTGCCTTACATTTTTAAGTACAATCAACTTAGCTGTTTAAGCCATTTCAACTGGCTTATAAAATAGTTGAACCTTGTACAACTTATCATTTTTAAAAATTGCTTAACTTATTTTGATGAGTTAAAGTAATGTAAAAACAAATGTTGTCTTAAATTATTGGTTATATCGTTTTTTTTACAGTATAGTTCTGCATTTATTCCTCACCTCTCTGTGACACCAGGCAGTATGAAGAACATCCAGAAGTGGATTCCAAACACAAGCACTACCTGGAAAACACACTTCCCAAGAAGAGTTTTACGAAGATAGAGTGCTCGGTCCACAATCATGGTACTAAACTGGATGAGGAGCATGACGAGAAAAGCTTCAGGAACCTGGTCTTCTGACAGTGACTCTGTTATATCAGCAGCTGCGCTGTGCTTCTGTATCAATAATTCAATACACTTATTAATTGACACATAAAAATAAACAGAAAAAAACAAATGAGCAAGTCAAAACTTGTGCTGGTCTTATCTCAACAATGAAATTCAATATGCTCAAATACTGAGGAGAACTTAAGGAGAACTGACTACATACATAATCTAAAAGTGGTGGTTTACTAGAGAGGATCTGATGGGTGGAATTAAATATGATCTTATTGCACATTCAAAGGCAAGGGGTGAGAGTAGGTTTATGTTTAGTGCCATCAAATATAGAGCTTATCATATTAATAAACACAAATTATATGCTTATAAATCCTTTCAAGATGTAGTAAAAAGCAGAAGGTGGTTTAAATACATTTAAGTTACCATGATGCTGTGCATTGCCTAGCCATAGCTGACCAGCACTGTCAGCAATGGCTTTATTTCTCATTGTGACTGTACATACACAATGTTATTTATTTATTTTCACCACTTATTTGCACAAAGCAGTGTTTTGCAAATCTGGCCCTGAATGGGTACCTAGGGCTGAATTTGAAGAGGAAGAAACTTTGATTTAATCTAGGTTTTAGATTAATATTGATGTAATCCTCTTTTGTTATTTCATATTCTCATTCAGAATACACTATATTTAGGAAACTAGATGGTATTAAGACCACATAGAAAAGTACTTTTCTGCTGTTCTTTAAAAATGAATTACTTCAATTAAAATAACATTTAAGTGTGAAAAAGGGATTGTATGTAAGGCAGCACTTACTCCAAAGGCCCAGTATCCAAATATAATAATGATGAAGTTCACCACATCTACCAGGAACATCATCGCATACACATCGCACACAGGGCTGTACTCGGGGTGGATGATGTCATAGAAGAATTGCCTTATGGGTAAGTATATGTGTAGAGCACTAAAAAGAAAAAACAAGTTTTACATGATCAGAAGCATTATTATTGTATTCCTTTAATATGCCAGCATTCTAAGCAATGCTGTTTTTTGGAAGTACACAATATATTGACATAGACATATAATATGGCATTGACTAACAATCAGTTCTAGAGGCTAAAAATCATTCCAGAGGAAAACAATCATTCACTGCTGTTTGTGTTTTCCAGGGAAGAGCTGTCGAGCCCATTGGAACTGGATGTTATGTCAAGAATAGCCAACATGTGTTACACCATTGCTTTGTCGTGGGAAACGTTTTGACAAATCTGACAAAGAGTACAGAATGTTGAGGGATGGTTTCTGTGGCCATGATGGAGCCGACAGGCAGCACAGAGAGTTCAAGGATGGCCTGCGTAACCATGAGTTACGTAGAGTGGCACCCACTGCCATGGGAGGAGCTGTAGTGGATGATGCTGCCACCATGGGACGAGACGTAGAGTGCACTGCCGCTTTGGGAAAGGGAACACCGGACTTGAGAGCACCACCCAAGGAAGCGCTGGGACCACCAGCTTGGGGGCACCGAGACTAGGGCGGCCATGGCTGTTGTAGTCCATGGTGGACCAATCTCCACAGTCATTGGAGCTTAGGATACATAGCCTCCCCAAAAAAAGGTGATTTTTGAAGGTTAATGGTAAGATCCTATTCCACCTCTCTCACAGTGAAGGGAGAGCCATTCAACAAACTCGCAAAAGGTCCCCAGAGGACCACTGACGTAAAGTAGTGATTTTAAGGGGTCATTTATTGTTTGGGGAAAAAAGAAGAAGCATTCAACCCCAAGAACACCATTTCCACGGTCAAGCTAGGTGGTGGGAACATAATGCTTTGGGAGTTTTTTTAGCCAATGGGCCAGGCAACCTTGTAAAAGTAAATGAGATCAAGATAAAATAGGACTACATTAAGATTCTGGAGCAAAACATTATAAAGTCTGCAGAAAAACTTGGCCTGGGGATGCAGTGGGCCTTCCAACAAGAAAACTATCCAAAACACACAGCAAAAGTGGTCAAGAAATGGTTTGCAGAGACCAATATCAATGTTTTGGAGTGGCCAAGTCAGAGTACAGACCTGAATCCAATTGTGTGATGGCAAGAAAGCATCCAACCTCAAAGACCTGGAGATCTATGCAAAAGAGGAGTGGACCAAAATCCTAGTGGAAATGTGGCACCAATTATAAAACCATTTGACAGCTGTGATTTTTGAGAAAGGATATGAATAATGGTGGACATGGAATGCTAGCATCCTTCGTTAATATATCTAACACAATGTCTAACTTTCTTGTCACTTTTTTGTGTCCAGCCAAAAGATGCCTGTTTGTGAAATAAATATTCACCATAGTTAGCCATAATTCATCAAATTTGGCATGGATATTAATAATTTTGTGTGTATCTGTGTACACACACACACACACACACACACACACACACAATCAAGGGGAATCAGTCATAAATAAAATTGCAAAACCAACACATGAAACAGTAAACTAGGACACTAAGAAACAATAACTATGACATAAAAGTCCATACAAATAGGAAACAATGTAATGTAGAGGGAAATCATGCTATTGTTATGTTTTTCCAAACAGTAATATACTCACATTTCTATTTAGAATATGGGATGCACATGTAAATTTTCAATATAAAGTAATTTCATTATTATTTATATATTTAAATTTTAATCTTTCAATTGGCTAATGGTGTAACGTATTAAACACGCTTGCACAAAGATGAAGCAGAACTCCATTAAACACTGAGGAAAAACTAGGATATTTGGTAACAACACACTACTATAAATGATACCATACAGGAAACAAAGGAAAACTCAGGGCTTAAAGAGGAGAGTAATCAGGGAGAACAGAAACAGGTGTGTGGGACAAATTAACAAATGAGGAAACTAACTAGGAAACAGCCAGGCAACACAAGGAAAACTAAACCAACAAAGACTACAGGTGACAAGTGGATTGTTATTTGTCTTAAGAGAAATAACTGTCTTATAGCTGTCTGCTAGTAGGCACCAAAGGTTGTCACAGACTAAGGAAGTTCTACAAGGTTTGCTATAGGCATAGGTTCTCCACTACCAGCGAAGAGCTGCAAACTTCTGTCAGGTTAGATATCACTAAAAGAGTTATGACAGAGAAATGTACAGACAACTGTGTTGTGAAATAGCTCTAAAGGTGCTGGTCACCGGAATAATTTTTTTGTCATCTTTTGGCTTAATCCATCTTTTCTTCCAAAGGTTTCCCTGCCTCAGTTTGTAATCACTCCATCAAGCTGACTGCTTTCCATTTCTCCAAACCTGATGATAATGATAGGTTCCGCCTCTCATGTCTGTGCTATGTAGAGTGTACTGCCAGACCCAGCCATTCAGACCAACCATTTTTCTGCTATGGTAGTGTGCAAAGGGATGATCTCATGTCAAAACAGAGATTTTCACATTGTATTGTAGAGCTGATTACCTATGGTCTAAATTTCCACTGATGCGTACCTAGAAGGTCTACCTTCCAAGAAATCTCAATGGCTAATCTCCATGGAGTCGTTCAGCTTCCCCTAGTACCTTTTGTTCCTTTCTACAAAGTTAACATCATGGCCTCATTCCTCATAACTAACCTGCTAGGCAATGGCTATGGCAGTGAGGAGGAATGGAACAAGCATGCTAGTTATTGAATGCAACTATGGTTCTGTAAATTCTGGATGACCACTAGAGATCTTTGTCACCCAGAATGGAAGAAAAAGTGAACTGAGCATCAAGCCACTGTGATGTATATATTCATGTCACTGTGTGATTTTTAAATGAATGTTTTTGTTTATGTAAAGCTCTTTTGAACAATATGTTTTCAAAGAATGTCATGGAAAAGTTCATTTATTTCAGTAATTCAACTCAAATTGTGAAACTCGTGTATTAAATAAATTCAATGCACACAGACTGAAGTAGTTTAAGTCTTTGGTTCTTGTAATTGTGATGATTTTGGCTCACATTTAAAGGGGTCATATGATGCTTTTTTAAAGATCATTATTTTGTTTATTTGGTGTAACAGAATATGTTGACATGCTTTAATGTTCAAAAAACACATTATTTTTCAAATACTGTACATTATTGTAGGTCCTCTATGTCCCGCCTCTCTCAAACGCTTCGTTTTCTACAAAGTCCCTCCTTCCGACAACCGCAGTCTGCTCTGATTGGCCAGCTGACCCAGTGCATTGTGATTGGCCGAACACCGCAAGCACTCGTCGGAAATGTAACGCCCCTTTCCATAAAAAAAGCATGAATTTCCATGAAAGCTTCATCTTTCAAAATAAATGTAAAGACAGAGCCCGAAAGCATTAGTTTTACCATCAGTTCAAGCCCGAA